TCGTTAATGAACCACTAATAATCTCAATCAACTTATTTCTCAAAATACATGTAATGAAATGAGCCATATATCCATTAATTATTATTGAAATGTTAAATATTATATTTAACCAGAAATAAATTGCTGGTACAAGCATTAAATTATTATATATATTAAATATATGTATCTCATATATATATGACAAATAATCCACGGAAAATATCTAGCGCTTCTGAATTGATTTTGATAAAAGTATATATAATCAATATAATAATTAATATTTTTTACTCAATTTTTTTCAATCCTGCAATATTTTTCAAAAACAAATATAATAGTTAATATTTTTTACTCAATTTTTTACAAACCTGCAAAATTTTTCAAAAACAGGATTGACAAAAGCAGTCTTTTACTGTCAATTGTTCTAATATTAATCTGAGAATCTCAGAAAATAAAGATAATTGTGATTTGACTAAGATTTTTTATATTATATTATATATCGTAATTTTATGATTTTTCAATAACATCTCATACATATGTAAAGTACAGTAAAATCATCAGAAAATCATAGACAAGTATAAAATTAATTATAGAACAATGAAATGTATGTATTACATACTTGATGATGATCATGCATCAACTGTATGTTTGCTGCATTTTGGTGAGAAAGTGAGATATCACGAAGACGATTCCAGAAGCGGTTAGTCGATCGATATCGACACTGGCCGGAAACAGCAATTATACGTGATGTTGAATTCGTTACAATATGCCAATATTCAACACTCTTCACGAGAAACACTCGCGACAATTCGTTGCACACAAAAGTTTCACATTTAGACAATAACAAATTGACACGAAAGATAGATTTTTATACGGAACGATTCGAATATACGAACTCTGCAATTTGCCGCGACGCAAGATTGACCTAGATTGACCGCGATCCAAAATCTAAATGCGATACTGCGATTTTCGATATATCGAATCAGTCGAAGCAACAAATAATTCAATACGCCTGCGCAAATAATGTATCATAGAAAATACATAAGACAGACGTAAGAGGGACGCATCTTGTTCAACTCGGATTTTCTTCGGTTCTTTTCGCGTAGACTCGGTTCGGCTACATGCTTGTGATTGGTGGATAGTGTTTTAAACCACCCGTTGCACCCTTTCTCCCTTCATCACAGAGTAGGCCCGTCTATGTATATTATATGTTTATGCCTTGCATCATTTACTGAAAATTGGCGGGTAAATTGGCGAGTTGTATACAACGTGTAAATAGCTGTACATATATACACAGTGTTATTGTTTATGAAAATTGTTGAATAATGTGTGAATACTTGTGATTCAGAAACATTCACGCGTAAATGATTCTTATGATAGTAGCAAGTAATACTTTTATCAAATTCTTAGTATTGTAAAGTACAAAAATAATATAAAAGCAAGGTTAGTCAGGCATCTATAATCTATTATCATAGAAGCTAGCTGATCAATCAATGACAGACTTTGAACTCTTAATAAAAAAATTTTTTTTTTATTCCCAGGTTATAATATTCTCTATGTATAAATATTTTTATATATAACTATACAAATTTAATATTATAAGCAACATATAATGCCACTTATAATGACCATTAGTTGATTAACTATTTGACACTGCTTTATTTCTATAGATATGTACAAATATGATTTTACTCTAATTAATTTAAATATCATTTATAGGGGTTTATCTCAGAATATATTTATAGATATATTAAATATATATTTACCTTTTTTTACAGGGTTTGAAATATGGAGCATGAAGACAGTGATTCTGATCTGGATATCTTGAATAATCTCATATCAAATGATATTGAAGAAACAGGCGTTGAAGAGAATGATATTAAGCAATCTGAATATCCTGAACAATCTAAACAGCTTCAGCAATCTAAGTCACTTGAACCGAAGAAGACTTTAACAGAATTGCAGTTTAACTTCTTAGATTCTAAGTCTTCTAATATAAATAATGAGGATAAACCAGTTAATGATAAAATTACCAATGAATCTTATGATGACAAGCTTGATTCTTCGGATGATGAAGATAGGCGTTATTTTGAGGAGCAAAAGTATTCTAATTATGGACGTGAAATAAAGCAACTGTTAAAAGAGCACTCCTCTTTGAAGACTGAACAACCTGCAAAATTACAACAAAATATTAATATTTTTAATAATAAAAATAAGACTTTTGATTTTAATAATACCATAAAGGATATCAAAAACAATAGTATTACAAAGGATGTGTATAGTGATCCCTTCTTTGGAATAAGAATAATTAGTCCTCTCATATCTTCTGCTGAATTGAAAGAACGCATGAAAGACAAGATAGCTGTAACAGTATCAAGAGTAAAGAATCACATTGTTTCTGATAATATGCATAATGATTGGGTAATCGCCGGTGTATTAATCAATAAATCAGTTACAAGAACCTCGCAGAAGGGAACTTCTTACTGCATCTGGAAAATAAGCGATTTGTCCGATGATTTGAAGACTGTGTCTATCTTTCTATTCAGTAATGCCTATAAGCAGTTATGGAAAACAATCACTGGCAGTGTGATAGGTATCCTCAATCCAAACGTACTCGAGAATAAAGACAACATCGACCAAGCAACTCTATCGATCGACAATCCTCAGAAACTGATGATTTTTGGTAGATCCAAGGATATGGGTAAGTGCAAATCGATCAAAAAGAACGGCGATCCATGCACTGCGATTGTAAACACAAGTCGATGCGAGTACTGTGTCTATCATGTTAAGCAGGAATATAAAAAATGTGCGCGACGAGCAGACCTACAATCGAGCAACAATGCATATGGATTCACTGGAGATGCGTTAAAACACATGAACAAGCAAACTGGTGCACGAAAGCCTTACAATGGCCTGGCGCCGTTTGTACCAGTGCTGGCCAAACGCAATGAGAAGCTATACGAGAAGGACCGTGCTCGTTTGGAATTATTATCCGAAGCCACTTCAGGCAATGATATTACAAAAACGAAAAGCGATTTGAAACCAGAGATCAATGTGGATGCTAAGAAGAAAAAGGTAACTGTAGAACTGACAAACAAACAATCGAGGAAAGATTTCGAACGACTCAATAAATTGAGAGGCTGGCAACCCTCGAAGCAAGTAATAGTACAATCAACGCCCAATGGACCAGTTCTGTGTTCCAGTCCGGTGCAATCAAAAGAAAGTAATTATACGCCAAGCAAACCTAAAAGCAATCATGTAGATAAGAAGATTAGTCTGGCCCCTTTGTCTTCAACCCCGCGACTGGGAGCAGGATGTAATCAAAGTACGATAGATTTCTCCGAACCTATCACCAAGCAACATATTCGTACCGCCAAGATGAACGCGATCAAATGGGTGCAGGAGCATGGGAAAATCAAAGCAAAGGATCCCAATCAGATACATATAAGTCCAAAAGAGAAGCTCAATCAAAACGCGAAACGTCAGAGGGAAAATGATGAGAAAGAAGAACGGAATACAAAAAAGATAAATATAAATGACAAATTCAAAGAGATTCTAGAAGTCAAGTCTTCGCATACAGATTTGATTGAAAAATCCTATGACGAAGAAAAGGAGAAATATTTTGAAAAATTAGAAGTGAAAGAAAAGATGGAAGAAAAGATGATGAACACTTTCAAGGTTAATTGTAAAGCTGTAAGATGTGCAATATGTAAGTACACAGCCTTCTCAGCATCGGACATGTGTAAGGAACAAAGACATCCATTGCGTGTGATCGACGCTATTAAAAGATTCTTCAAATGCGCCGATTGTGGCAACCGGACTATCAGTTTAAATCGTATGCCATCGCACAGCTGTAGCAAATGCAGCAGCTCGAATTGGGCCAGGGCGGCAATGATGGATGAGAGGAAGACCGTTATCGCCACAGAAACTCTGTCGATACGCGGCGCCGAAGAGAAATTCCTAGGTTCGATGGTGAAAGACGCGAATCTCAATCTTCTCGTCCCGGATGAAGATTAGTAAATTCAATTTCCGTGAATACTCTTGTTCAATTAATAAATTGTAAGTAATTTATCTAGTAAAATGTAAAAACGGGAAGAGTCGATTGGTCAAGATATAAACTGATAGTTCTATACACTAGCGATAAAATGTTTGTATAGAACATAGAAACTCAAGCAGTGTGTTGAAAGATGCTACGATATTGTTGCCAAGATATATTAATTCATTATAACTTATCATTATTTTTTAATAATTGTCTATGGTGAAAATACATAGAAAATTTGTAGATCACGAATTTACTATCTGAATCAAATTATCAATTATCATCGGCTAAAATTAATAGAGCGACGCGAATCTTGCTTATCGCGTCTGATATACTTACTCTTATATATCATATTTTATATCTTAGAATCTACAAATACAGAACATTTGATATCCTTTTGTTTATTGTCAGTATTATCAATTTTCTTTTCTTTTTCTTTTTTTTTTTCACTTTATGAAAAATGTACAAATATAAAGAAATTCTAAAAGTGTATCTCTTGCACATTTCCGAAATGAAATACATCGAATTCTCTCCGTCCGAAATGTACATAGCGAGCAGAAACGTTTTGATATACAACCAGGTACACAACAATCGTATAAAGAACATTATTATTTCGATTACTTGCTTCATTAAATTACGTTTGATAATTATATTTAGGCTGAAAATCATTATTTTCGTTCCCGTTCGATAGAACTTTCTCATACAAAGGTACCTTTTCTCCTCGCGAAAAAAGTACTCTGTTCCTTTCCTTCATACAAGATACGAACTGTGTAAAAAGATAGACATGAGCAAATTTCTAAATATAAAGAACTGTAATTGGGATCCGAAAGCACCGCATTGACATAAGCTACCATAGATCAATATTATATAACATGCAATAATACATTTAAAAACAATATAAATTGGATTTTCCGCGACGTGTTATGTCAATATAATAACTCCGGACATTAATAACTATCTGTTTGTATGAGAAACATAGATTGTATTTTTTCACTCATATACTGTTTAATATCCTATGGTTGTCCACAATTCTGTTCGGCATTTTATATTACAATGTGTATGACACGTTACTCTCTTCCTTGTATATAAAACTTCGAGTAAAATATGCGTGAGAAAAGGAAGATTAGAAATAATGATTATTCGATAAACTTAGGAGTATTATTTAGAAATGAGATATTAATTTATTGTCATTTCAAAATATTTTATCTTTTTTAATACGTCATAACCGATTTATCATAGCTGTCATATTTTATATATACATACATAATTGTTAATTGCGGGCCAGAAAAAGCGGACCAAAAAATTATTAAATTAATATGAAATATATAAATACATAAGCAATTCTCATATATGCACATAAGAGGAATTATATTAATAAATTAGTTATATACTCTGTTGTCTTTTGAAAAAATCTTTTGATAAACGATCTTTTTTACTATCATCGTGTCACATTAATGCATGTATACGTGCGTATACATGTGTATGGAATGTTTTTAAATCATTATTTCAATCTTCCTTTTTATCACCTGACAGAGCATAAATCTCACAGGAAATGAGCAGCAATACCAACGAACATTTTTTTCCCGGTCCTTAGCTATAATCCCATATTATATATGCTTGTAATCCATCAAAAACAAGCTTTACTTTAAGATAGCGCAAATCCAACGTGGTACACATATACGAAAACGCGTGAAGCATTATAATAAGATCATATCCATGATATAGAATTGGACTGATTAAAAAACTTTACGATTACGTTCTCGTATTGCTGTCAGGTATGAAATCTAATCAATCTGTTAAGGAAATTAATTTCGATTGAAGAACATATTTCACTGACAAAACACGTGGGAATAAAATAATCAATGACGAATATGTTGTTAGCAGATTATACAATTATGCTTGCAAAGATCAGAAGGGCAAGCCATAATCTAAGTACGTCATCGATTCGATTATTAAAGCAACTGGCGTGGACGACATTTCCGTATACCTTTACATTTAGACAAAGATTACAAAGCTTTTCCTATTCTCTTTCTGTTTCTTGCTCTCATTCTCTCTCTCTCTCTCTCACTTTCAATAATTGATATTTATCGAGTTCTTAATTTATTAGCTTGCATACTTAAATCAGATATTCTGCTTAAGCAGAAACGAAGTCGCACCAATGTATAGAAATAAATAACTATCTAGACTCCTAGTGAGATGTTCACATATAAAAATTTGAGAAGAAATGTTAAGCCGGTAATTAACATCTGGGTATCTTGAGAGATAATACACAGATACAAATTCGAACCATCGCGCCACTTTGAAATTCGTTGTGCACATATCGCAAAATTGGATCTCTCTCGAACGTTCTACTTTGATGAAGCTCTCTTCTGCGTCTGTTTTTGTCTTTGTGAAAGGTGTACATCAGCATGATATCGCAGATATAATGTAAATACATCATTAATGATACACTTTTCGTCAGGAGACTCTTTGAGAAGTTGCTCCTCCTTGCTCTCTATACAATATTCTTTCATAAAGGATACTTCACCAAAATTGCACGTTACATTCTTTTCACATTTATACATACATAGCGTCGTTAATTACAAAGGCATCATACGAATAAGCGAATTAAATTAACATTGTTAAAATAAATTTCATAATATCTCCAATATAACTGCCATTTAAATATTGCGGGGAATATTTTCCTTTTTATTGAGGTGCACCACTATAACAATGAAAAAGTTATTTTAATATACTTTTGCGAAGCATTTTTTATGTACAATTGTGTGAATGTACAAAAATCTAAGAGCCAAGAGCCAGCAACGGAGCAATGTAGAATTGCGAGGAATTATCTGTCCTTATGTTTACAAGTGTGTATCACTGCATAAGACGGAAATACTTCATTTACTCCGTGGATCGTGTACGCGACCTCAACTTATGTCTAAGGCAACTGTGCCGTTTTTAAAAATTGACATCTATTTACAGAACTCTTTTCGTTATCGTTATATGAATTTTTCAAATCGGTGTAGAATATACGCAATTTATGTTCATAATAATCAGTTTATTACAGCTCTTCTTCCAGGATTATATCTGAACAGAATAATGCTATACAGCCGCTCTTGTAGTTCAAATACTCATTCCTCGTAAAATCTATGATAAGATGATAAACATCAATTTAATATAAAATTACAACCGGATTATCATATATTATACAACATTTGTATTCGGCACTGTAGAGCGTGTAGTATAATTGTTTAAACGAATCCCTGTGTGGATAATTAAGGACCATAAATCGTAATACAAAGTAGTGAATGTTATGAGAGTAGGCAGGTATCAAGCTGGCTTAATTAAGTGTCACAGTCTTCGAATTGCCTTTTCTTTCATAGACATGAATTATATAGCCACGCCATATATCAGCTGGTGCTTCTCTTTTTCATGTATCGATTTTGCGATCTGGTTGATAAATTTTAGACATGAATTTCGTGACGATATCGTACATACTGCATCATATGACAAATTTTGAAACATGCCCGTCTATGCTTCTCTCTTGGGACAGTATGCAAAAAAAGAACATACACTCATGTCCCTCCAGCTTTTTCCAAAGCTAAAATAACTAACTGACTTTGCCTCCAACTGTTCGCACAAAACTATCTCACAAGAGGCTATATTCTAATTTTAATATATATGTTTTGTGAATTTTTATTTTTCTTTATTAATTATAAATTTTTTACTATTTATTTTTTACTTGGTTCGTCCAATTTTGTCGCAATCCGCCAATAGATTTTATATTTTGACATCATAATTATGACTTCTTCTACAAATTATTTGACCACGCGATTCAAATCGATTTTCTCTGGACCACATATATGATTCCACATTTTATATGCACGACTTGATTTTAAACTTGACCACTTATTGATCAACATAATTTTTGAAGTGAGTGACATAGAGAAGGAGGAAGTAAAAAGAAATGCGTCATCGATTTTCGGCAGATTTGCGACAGATGAAGTTTTTGTCTTATACAAATAGCCTCTTGTGATCTTGCCATTTTCTTATCTTACCATGGTATATTAAGAGTCTAAATTTTTATGTTTTGGCTGAAGAAGCACAAGTAAGTGCGGAAATGTTCCAAATATTGTTTATTGTTAATACTATTGTCATTTCAAAATAAATAAAAACCCAATTATTGCTCATTGAAGCCTTGTAATGATTTTATTTGTTTAAAATAACTAAATATCGGTTGAGTTATGGACTTAGTAATCGTCCAAATCAAAGCTATCGATTTCGATGTCATCCAGCTGCATACTTTGAAAGTCCACCTTGTACCGCAAGATACCTGAAAAATATATATTTTAAGAAATACATGCTGGATAACGACTATTTCTCGCTTAAAGATTTCCTTTGCTAAAAAAACAATAAAATATACTTTTATATACGCGTAAACTCATTATTAAATAGATAGCAAAAAACTGAAGAACTAAAATGAAACAAGATAAATAAAAGCAGATATATATAAATAAATAATTAAAAATACACAATTTACAGCATATAATGTCTACGGCACCAATCTGCTAAATTATATAAATCAAATTGACATTTTATTAACAATGCTTTCCTAAGTAGGAAATGTTCTTTTTTATTGCATTTGTAATATAATAAAACATTAAAATTTGTAAAACATATATAAAACTTAAAGAAAGCAGATAGAAAAAACTATTTATAATTCAAAGCATTATTCATAGACAGAAAAAACGAAATCTGATTAGTAGAAAATTTTATTATAAAATTAAAAATTATATCATTATGTGTGAAAACGCGAGTTGTAAATTAACATATGTCTATGTAAAGAACATTATACGATTTAGGGTGATTGTAATGATTATACAGAAGTAAATAACGAAAGTTTGCAATCTCGTATTAATAAATTTGTCGCAAATCAGTACTTGCATAAATATTAATAAAACATAAAACTACGTGTGTGCATTTGTGTGTAAGAAAAATTATATGTGTACTATAAAATTATAAAAATATTAAAGGATTAACGAAACATCAATAAATGTATAAAAGAAAATATTACTTATCACATTGTAAACTATATTATGACTGCACGTCGATAATATCGGTTTTTAATTTTTATTATATAATATTAATAAAAAACAGGTATTATATATTGTACCTTTTTCCCAATATGCAAGCTAATTAAAATAAAATGCCGATTAGTACTTGAAGATATTAAATATTTTTTAAATTGTTTCTAAAACACATTAAACTATTTTAAGCAATTGCTATATATATATATATATATATGTGTGTGTGTGTGTGTGTGTGTGTGAGTGAGTGTGTGTTGTGTGTGTGTGTGTGTGTGTGTGTGTGTGTGTGTGTGTGTGTGTGTGTGTGTGTGTGTGTGTGTGTGTGTGTGTGTGTGTGTGTGTGTGTGTGTGTGTGTGTGTGTGTGTGTGTGTGTGTGTGTGTGTGTGTGTGTGTGTGTGTGTGTGTGTGTGTGTGTGTGTGTGTGTGTGTGTGTGTGTGTGTGTGTGTGTGTGTGTGTGTGTGTGTGTGTGTGTGTGTGTGTGTGTGTGTGTGTGTGTGTGTGTGTGTGTGTGTGTGTGTGTGTGTGTGTGTGTGTGTGTGTGTGTGTGTGTGTGTGTGTGTGTGTGTGTGTGTGTGTGTGTGTGTGTGTGTGTGTGTGTGTGTGTGTGTGTGTGTGTGTGTGTGTGTGTGTGTGTGTGTGTGTGTGTGTGTGTGTGTGTGTGTGTGTGTGTGTGTGTGTGTGTGTGTGTGTGTGTGTGTGTGTGTGTGTGTGTGTGTGTGTGTGTGTGTGTGTGTGTGTGTGTGTGTGTGTGTGTGTGTGTGTGTGTGTGTGTGTGTGTGTGTGTGTGTGTGTGTGTGTGTGTGTGTGTGTGTGTGTGTGTGTGTGTGTGTGTGTGTGTGTGTGTGTGTGTGTGTGTGTGTGTGTGTGTGTGTGTGTGTGTGTGTGTGTGTGTGTGTGTGTGTGTGTGTGTGTGTGTGTGTGTGTGTGTGTGTGTGTGTGTGTGTGTGTGTGTGTGTGTGTGTGTGTGTGTGTGTGTGTGTGTGTGTGTGTGTGTGTGTGTGTGTGTGTGTGTGTGTGTGTGTGTGTGTGTGTGTGTGTGTGTGTGTGTGTGAGCCATATAAATATATGTGTAGATATCATGTATAAATACATGATATTTATGTTCATTATCAGAAATAATATTTCTTGTTTCTCATATACATGGAAACTTTCATATTTGCATTTAATTTTAATTGCATATATTTTTTATTTAATATATTATAGAATATATTATCTATGATAATAAACTCAGCCTTTATAATTCTTATTATAACATGCAGATGTAATCATTGGAAATGTGTATTGAACTGATTGTATATTAAATTATGGTTTTCTATTTTACATTGTATATAAGCGTGGATAAAGCATATATCGATACAAAAATATATTCAGTTATGATATAAATTTTTAATTTAATATGGAACATTTATCATAAGACTATAATGATCTCAAAACTCTTGTGTAGATTACTATTCAACTACTTCAACTATTCATTACAATTACAAATTTTATAATAAATATTTTGATATTTTGATAAGATTTCTAAATAGAAAGTTGAGATAATTAATGTAATATTTTTTTAAAATTAAGCACATACATTATTTTCATATTTATAAAAATTACATTTCTCTTTTTTTTCAATAGAGTAAATGTAATAACACTGGTAAAATGATACATTAAACACTAAAGTTAAATTTCGAATTATTAAATCAGTACTTGAAAAAGCACAGAGACTGAAATACACAATTATATTGAAGGAATATACATGCGCGATTATTAATGTATAGTCCAGTCTATACAATGTCTATAGCGTAATTATAAAAACAAATTCTGACAAAATATTTAAATACTGTATAGGAAAATGGCAGAAAAACAAAATTAAGAAAATATAATATCAGAATCATGTCAAATGCATAATACAGAATCTTACTTGTGTGAAGGGACTGATGGTAAATATTATAAAGAATATCGTGCAAACTAAGATGTTTAATATATACTATAATATATACTATAGTATAATAAAAGAAATATAACGATTTGAGAGTTGAAAATCAGATATATATACGCACACTGCATGTGTTTCCATTCAGCAAAACTCTCTTATATAATTCATATACTTAATGAGTGATGAATCAAGAATTATCAGATTGTGTACATGTATATAAGATGCTGTATATTCAAAAAGTCATCTTGATCAGTGAGATAAATATCGATATTTTTAAGTTGGGACAATATACAATGAATAGTTAATTTTTAGTAATGATAATGAAACTACTAACATTACTGACTAGAGAAGCTCACATTGACATTTAAAAGCGTTATTAATCAGTTTATAACATTCCTGTATACGACCTTTCGTTCACGAGTTTTCTGTGAATATGATGTTACTATATATCTTTTGCTGCTCAAAGATGAGATGTGGTTAACGAATATGAAAGAATGTGACTGTATATTTGATATCAGGCAGATATTATCTTTCCATTGAATTAACCACTGTGTATTGCGTCTACTTCTCCAATTATAAGACTAACAGTGTACAGATCTAACGACATGGCGTAAAAAATAGGATAGAGGAACTGAAAGATTTCAACTCACCCCGTATATAAACATAGAGTTATTCATAGATATATGTAAATATATATGCAAGATTTTCTTTATTTGCATTTACCATCAAGAAAGAAAGAAAAAGAAAAACAACGAAGGTGTTCTCAGACTTCTTTTTTATTTATGAAAACAATAAACAGTATACCCTTGATAAACATGAACTAAAAACATCTATTACCACATCCAAAATTATTTTGAGAGAGACATATATGCATATATATACTACAGATCTGCACAAAAAAGAAACAAACTATTTAGTGAGAAACCCAATGGAAGAAACTGAATTTTTCTTGGACAAATTTATCTTTATATTTAAATTAATCACAAAAAGCACACACATATATTTAATAATCATAAATATTATTTTTTCATACTATCAATGTATATAATTTTTTATATATAGAGAGAAAAGATCTTAGAGAGACTTATATAATATCAAATACTTATATAATTAGTTATAATAGGCTAAATTTTTTTATGCAATAGTATGTTATTAATGAAAAGCAATATTTACATTATAAAAAAGAGAATAAGAATTAAGCATTTTTTCAGGTATAAAGCTTGATTATATACTTCATTTACTTGAATTTTATTAAATTATTTATCAAATACTTATGATGCAGAAGTGAAATCAAAATTAATTGAAAATAAATGAACAAATGATAAATTTGTCCAGCTTTGCAAATAATATGTTCTATGATACACGAGATGTAAGTGAATGCACGCAAGACAGAAAGAGCTACCTGGTTGATTCTGAGTAATTCACGGATGAAATTAGTAATCATCGAGGTCAACATCATCAAGAGGCTCATCAGCCTGCAGAGACTGGAAATCAACTTTGTAGCGGAGGATTCCTATGTACCAACATATATACTCCACAGTTAATATCAGTATGATGAAATTTACTTTCCATGCAAAAATAATCTTTGCTCGTGTCTAACGTCATAACGTTAATCTGTATTGGTTTTTGAGGATATTGTGAACCCAAAAAATGAAACTACACCATAACTTGTCAATGTGTATGAAGTTTCACAGTAAGTCAATGCGCAAATTGCACTAGAGAAAGCCTAACATTTACACGATATTGTTTAGAATGTTTCATGAGAATGTTTTTAATACTTTTCTTTAGTTTTAATTTTTCTTGCTATTCTTATTATGTTCTTCAATCCTTTTACACTTATGCGCTTTATTTTCTTGGAATCACTTAGTGTATATATACATTTTGCAGTACATAAGGGAAGTATATATATATATAGATAGATACATATATATGTATCTGTCTCATGAAATTACAAATGATGATAATAAGTATATGTATAAAAGAGACTCACCTCCAATGCCACCAAAACCTCTGACAAATTGGGAGCCTTCCTGCGATTTGTCGGTGATAATTTCCAAGGTAGCACCAAAACTCTTGTAATTGTTTGCGAGCCATTCAAGTAATGGTTGACATTCTACAAGTTCCAGTTCTACCCCGCTCTATGAAAATAGGAGCAAAAAGATATATAAGATATACTTTATTTTAAAAAGAATTGTAAAATAATCAAAAACTATATTCCTATCTTGTAGCAATATTCGGATGTTTACCTCCTTATCTGTGAAGTGAGTCTTATCCTTTTCTTGTTCTGGCGTTAAGTGCAAAACTTTCTCTTCTGCGTTTGTATGATTTTTCAAAACATATCGTTGAATATCTAAATTCTCCCAACAGATTAGAGTTTCGACACTACCTAATTCTAAGGCTCTCAATGTATCTTCTACGCCAAAACAGTACTTTCCAGTTTCTTGAGAAATTTCATCAAAATAACGACCTAATTAAAAAAAGAAATTAATAATAATGCATCTCATTGAATATATTATATATATACATATATATCATTACTATATATATTTAGTATATAATATCTTTACCAATCAATTTTTTCTCTTGGATAAACTTCACATTTTGCAAAGATTCGGCTGCTAACTCAATGGCTTGGTTAAAACCATTTTCGCCACCATATGATACATCAACCAGTTTTATAACCTTAGCTTGCAATCTCTGAAAAAAAATCACAGGTATTATCTTAAAAAAAAAAAAAAAAAAAAAAAAAAAAACCCCTACTTTTTTTTTTCTTTATTATAGATCTGTCTTAAATTTTGTTTTGTAAATAATAAATAATTTAAAACAAAATAAAATATTTATAAAAAATTTCCCGGGACGAAAAGTCCATATGTATAATCATATATAAATATATAGAATTATATATAAAATATGTTCATGTAATATATGTTTTTCTCTTGTATAATTTCTGTTTCATGTATATA